GTGATCAGGTGTGTGAAGGGTGGTGGTGAGCACGTGTGATGGGCGGTGGTGAGCATGTGTGTGATCAGGTGTGTGACAGGTGACAGTGAGCACGTGTGTGTGTGATAAGGTGTGTGACGGGCGGCGGTGAGCATGTGTGTGTGTTCAGGCGTGTTATGGGTGGCGGTGAGCACGTGTGTGGGTGATCAAATGTGTGACGGGTGGCAGTGAGCACATGTGTGTGATCAGGTGTGTGAACAGTGGCGGTGCGTACGTGAGAGTGATATGGCATGTGACGGGTGGTGGTGAACACATGTGACAGGCGGCGGTGAGCACATGTGTGATCAGGTGTGTGACGGGTGACGGTGAGCATGTGTGTGTGAGATCAGGCATGTTAAGGGTGGCAGTGAGCACAAGTGTGTGATCAGGCATGTGATGGGCAGCGGTGAGCACGTGTGTGATCAGGCATGTGACGGGCAGTGGTGACCGTGTGTGTGATCAGCCATGTGATGGGCAGTGCTGAGCACATGTGTGTGTGATCAGGCGTTTGATGGGTAGTAGTGAGCACGTGTGTGTGATTAGGCGTGTGACTGGCGGCAGTGAGCACGCATGTGTGATCAGGTGTGTGATGGGCAGTGATGAGCACGTGTGTGTGTGATCAGGTGTGTGACAGGCAGCGGCGCGCATGTGTGTGTGTGGTCAGGTGTGACAGGCAGCGGCACACATGTGTGTGTATGATCAGGCATGTGATGGGAAGCTGTGAGCACGTGTGTGTGTGTGTGATCAAGCATGTTACAGGCGGCGGTGAGAACATGTGTGTGATCACGTGTGACGGGCAGTGGTGAGCACGTGTGTGTGATGAGGTGTGTGATGGGCAGTGGTGAGCACGTGTGTGTGTGATCAGGTGTGTGATAGGCAATGATGATCACGTGTGTGTGTGATCAGGTGTATGAAGGGTGGTGGTGAGCACGTGTGATGGGCGGCAGTGAGCATGCGTGTAATCAGGTGTGTGACAGGTGACAGTGAGCACGTGTGTGTGTGATAAGGTGTGTGACGGGCGGCGGTGAGCACGTGTGTGTGTTCAGGCGTGTTATGGGTGGCGGTGAGGACATGTGGGTGATCAAATGTGTGACGGGTGGCAGTGAGCACGTGTGTGTGATCAGGTGTGTGAACAGTGGCGGTGTGTACATGAGTGTGATTAGGCATGTGATGGGTGGTGGTGAACACGTGTGACAGGCGGCGGTGAGCACATGTGTGATCAGGTGTGTGACGGGTGACAGTGAGCATGTGTCTGATCAGGTATGTGACGGGCAGCAGTGAGCACGTGTGTGTCATCAGGCATGTGACAGGTGGAGGTGAGCATGTGTGTGTGTGATCAGGCGTGTGACGAGTGGCAGTGAGCATGTGTGTATGTGATCAGGCATGTGACAGGCAGTGGTGAGCACATGTGTGTGTCATCAGGTGCATGATGGGCAGCGGTGAGCATGTGTGTGTGTGATTAGGTGTGTGACGGGTGGTGAGCACATGTGTGTGTCATCAGGTGTGTGACAGACAGCGGTGAGCACATGTGTGTGTCATCAGGTGTGTGCTAGGTGGTGGTGAGCACGTGTGTATGTGACCTGGTGTGTGACAGGCGGCAGTGAACACGTGTGACGGGCATGTGTGGCTGGCACACCTGTCGGCTGGGCACACAGGGCAGCACAGAGCTGTGGCCGGTGCTGTCCTGACCCTGTGGGGACACTCAGCCCCTGATGGCCCCAGCAGCGTGTGTCACGCCCGCGTGCAGCCCACATCCCCTGCGGTGGGCGGTACCTGCACAGAGTTCTTCCCCAGGGCAACCATCTCAAACAGGGTCACCTCTGCGGTGATGGCCACTTTCCTCTTGCGGTACTTCCGCGGGGGCCGCCCTCGCCGGCAGGTGCCCTGCCCACGGGCATCCTGGGCCCCCGAGGTTGCTCCCTGTGCCTGAAACCGAAGAGTGGGATGTGACAGGCTGCACCGCACATCCTGTGTCCCGGGCAGGTGAGGAGGGTGTAGCCCCCCCCACCGGGGACGCAGGGGCGCACCGTGGTGGCCCTGGGCAGGAACGCTGGACCATCGGGAGCACACAGCTGTGAAGGAGACCTGGACATTCAGGAGACAACTGGCCGCACCCCCTGGGGGTGCCCACCTGTCACCATGTGCTCACACTTTCACACCAAATAGCTCTCAGCTCCTCATGGCCTGTCCTGTACCCGCTGCAAGGGGTCCATGATCACCTGAGACCCTGGGCGGGGAGGGGGGCTTCAGGCACCTGGAACGGAGGGTGCAGGAGCGACCCCAGACCCCCAGGTGGGGGGATCAATGCCAGGGAGCAGGGAGGGTTTCCCCAGACCCCCAGGCAGGGGCATAGATGCCAGGGAGCAGCGAGGGGACACTGAGCCTGAAGAGGGGAGCAGGAGTCGTCATGTCTGAGGACGGTCAGGGGGTGGGGACACTGTGTCCAAGGTCAGGGGATAGGATGCCATATCCATGGTTGGGGGAGGGGACGCCATGTCCAAGCATGGGGAGAGGACGCCGTGTCCATGGTCGGGGAGGGGACTCCGTGTCCATGGTCGAGGATGATGCTGTGTCCGAGGATGGGGGAGAGGACGCCTTGTCCGTGGTTGGGGGAGGGTACTCCATGTCCGTGGTTGGGGGAGGGGACACCGTGTCCAAGGACGAGGGAGGGGATGCTATGTCCGAGGATGGGGGAGGGAAGGAACACCCCATCTGCAGACACAGGAGAGGACACCACCTCCAAAGACCAACAGTGGAAGTGCGCTGGCCTGCAGGGCCCTGGTGGGCCTGGGGTTTGGTGGGCAGGCAGTACAGGGAGAAGCCTCCAGGACCCAGTCCTCAAGCTGGCAGCACCTGGCCTGGCACAGGGCAGCACAGCACCACCCGGCCCGCCCAGCCCTCCCCGCAGTGGTCAATACCAGTATGGAGCCCCTCCTCCCGGACATCACCTCAAAGAAGGTCACCATGGAGATGAACTGGCCAGCCTCGTTCCTGTACCTCCTGCGTGTGGCCCGCCCACGCCGTCGGAATCCAATCCCACTGACATCCCGGATCCCCGAGGGTCCTTCCTGCACCTACAGCCAGAGAGCAGGATGTGAAGGGCCAGGAAATGGTACTAAGTGGAGGCCAGCTTAATGAGAGGACCCCTTAACTCCAGGACCCAGGGGGAAGGAAGTGTCCACTAGAACTGCCCATCACCGCCAGGGGCCCCCGGGAGAGGAGGGTGGCCACCCCATGTCACCCACCGCTGCTGCAGGACAGAGGTCTCGGCCAGGGTCTCTGACTGTCGTCACGCCCTCAGCTGGGTGCTCAGACACAAGCCTCCGCTGCCACAAACCACCAGTGTCCTGGGGATAGCAAGCCATCTTAAACCCAATCCTGAGGACTGTCTCTCAGGGATATGGGGTTCCCATCACCCCACTGGTCACAGCCCCAGATGGAGATGGGGAGCTCAGGCCAGTGACCAGCAAGGTTGGGGGAGGTAAGACCCATGATATGAGCCAGCTCTCCCTGTCCTTCTGGGAGGGGTGGGCCCAGTGGCCCAGCAGAAGCAGGACGGAGACCAGCACAGCCTCAAGGGGCACAGGGAGAGTAACCTGGAACCAAGGGTCACATGTGCAGACAGCAGAACTTGGGCGTCACTCCTGGGCACACCTGCCCAATAGAGCATGGCCTTCCCTAGTGGGATGCTGCTACTGCATGGGGACCAGCGTGGATGCAGTGAAAGAACCACGGCCATGCCTGTCCTGACTCGATGCTCCCCTGCCCACTAGTGTCTGACCCACCAGGGGCTCACGGATACTGTGAGCCCATAAGGGCCATCCTGGGGCACAGACGGTCTTCAGGACAAGTGTGCCCACTTGTGGGTGCCCCACACCCCTGCATCCCTACACTGTGGGCCTCTGTGACACCACCACATGACAGTCTTCCACAAACGAGAACATCTGAGGGCTGTAGTACCAGGCTGGGTGGCCCACTGATAACCTCACCACAACACACATCTGGTTCTGCTTGTAGGAACCCCACACTGATATGTGTGCACACTGAAGGCTGTGCCTCAGCAACACGCTGGATTTAGATTCGTATGTCCTCAAACTTAAAAGTGAATTTAGCAAGGCCAATTCAAGGTCAGTTTAATAAAATCAATCATATTTCTAAAAACAAGCACTGAAAACCTGGATACTGAAATTTAAAAAAAAAAAAAAAACAGTAGCTATTACAACAGCTCCCCCAAAATGGAATACTTAGATATCAACCTAACAAAATAGGTGTAGGATCTGTGTGTTGAAAACTACAAGATTTTGATGAAAAAAATCAAATAAGACTTTCAGAAACAGTGAGCTATACCATGTTCATGGAATGGAATGGAGAAATGGATCATTCTGCAACAGCTGGAGATTCAATACTGAACTCTTAATAATGGACAGAACAACCAGACGGAAGACCAGTGAGGACAAACAAGACTTAACAAACCAACTAGATCTAAGACACGTATACTGAACCCTCCACCCAGCAACAGCACACACCTTCTGCTCATGTGTTCTTAGCACATTCCCCAGAATACACTACACGTTAGACCACCAATGAAGTCTTATTAGATTTCAAAAGACAGGTAACATACAAAGTATCTTCTCTGACCACAACAGTATGAAGTAGAAATCAATAACAGAAGGAAAACTGGAAAATTCACAAAACTATGAAAGGACAAGTGGTTAAGAGAAGAAATCACAAGGGAAATTAGAAACAATCTAGGGACAGGGACTTCAAGCTGTATCACAAAGCTGTAATCATCAAGACTATGGTACTGGCACAAAAACAG